GTCCTCTAAGTTTAATGAGAATCCATTCATGTCTCTGCATATGGTTTGGCAATAAGTAGCCCAATAGAAAGGAACAACTTTTATATGTCCAAGGACATCAGTTTAATAATTTCAAAATTAAAAGGGTAGTTAACATCCTTTTATCCTAATCTCACCCCCCTAAAATTTTTAGGGCCTGAAGTAAAATTTAAAGGTGTCTTCCACCCAGTGATCATTTCTCCGGGTAGAATTGAAGAACTGAGTGTTGTAAACCAGGCCTGCGATGGTGAGTTCTTAAAGTCTTTGTTTTCTTGGTTAAATACTCTAATCAATTCAGTAACTTTGTCTAGCAGACCAACAGAAAGAGAATTGTTTCTGGTCATAATACACAGAGTCTTTTCGATAAGAATGATGACATCCAGGGGAGAAGGTATGGGCTCCAGGAAGAATTCCCTAAAGTTCTGTTAGAGGCTGTCTGAATAGTCAGCATTTTTTAGCTGCAGTATCAGGGAACTGTAACAGTTCAAGGGAGGTTCTATACCAGTGCTGAACAAAAGATGAAGATGAATGGATCACTGTCTTTGTGCTCCAAAACACAGTAGCAAGCAAAGCAAGTCTCTGTATTAAGCAGCTTACAGATGGGCCTTTTCATTTATTGATTTAAAGGCAGTGAGAAGCTCACTTACCCAAATCTTAATTTTATCAGCTGTAAGGAGAGCCAATTGATAGCTCTTGTTTTTTTTTAATTAATGGAGATTATCTAAGATATTCATCATGCTTGATAGAATGAATGCTCAAAGAATCTAGCCTTCAGGGCCTCTACCACCGACTGCATCATTATCCCTACTGCTCCCCGTCTACCACTTCTACCACCACCATTATCACCACTGTCATCACCACCACCATCACCAATAAGCACAGCAACATATATTCAATAGAAAGAGTCTATGCCTATAGCTTTGGTCTAACATTTAGATGCCATGAATGATCACATTGTGTATCTTACACAAGACTTTATTTCAGGGATAACACTAGGTGCTGGCCTCAGCCTGGATCAGGTGAAAGACATTCTGGCTGATGTGGTCCAGAAGCTCCCAGAAGAGAAGACACAGACATACTGTGCTCTTCTGAAGCATCTGAGAACTCTGGCTGGGTTCCAGATCAGGAACATGGCTGTATGTATTTGACAACAGTAAACTCTGGCATGCATCTCTTGGGTGACTGTAGTTGATGACTTGTTTTTGTTCTTTAAAACAGACAAAAAGAACAGCTCTCCAAAGCCTTGCTTAATCTTTATTTTAGCACTTAGGTTTTGTAATTACACAACAGAAGTAAAAGTAACTATTTTCAACAGTCTTTAGGGGGCCACATCGTGAGCAGACATCTGGACTCAGATCTGAATCCCCTCCTGGCTGTGGGTAACTGTACCCTCAACTTGCTGTCGAAAGGTAAATGGCAGCTTCTACTTGGGGCTTATTAAGCCCAATCTGTTCATTTTCTCTATGGAAAGGTAGGAAATTATATTTTCCTTCATATTAGCAATTTTCTATGCCTTTCTGGAGGCTGAAAAGTTGGTCAGTCTGGTCCTAGTACCATCTCCCAATCTCTCTTCCTGTTTCTTCTTGAGACCTTGCTCTATCAAGGCTACCAACATTTTGACATTGAGACATGATGTTGTCTGTCAATGTGTTAAGCTGCATTCTCACCTATCCTGGGATGCATGTGACCTTTGGTCACAGGTTAGACACATCTGCTAGCTGTTTGCTCACCCTACATTGAACATGCTTGCATTGGTTAATGTCCAGGTGTGAGCTGATTATTGGCAAGAACCATACGCTCTGAGAGCTATTGGGCACCTTTTTTGGAGATGTTCTCCTGTGGCAATGGGGTGTTTGGCTCCCACGCTATGTTCTGGTCTCATACTTAAGGACCCATAATCTTCCTACAGAAGAGAAGACACAGACATACTGTGTTCTCTTGAAGCAGCTGAGAACTTGGAGATTATCTAAAGCACTTAGCATCATGCTTGACAGGAGTGGTTAAAGAATCTAGCCTTCAGGACCTCCTTCATAACCTTCAAGACCTGCATACAAGTTGTTTTTAGTTGAAGAATGACTGAGCTTTGTGCTATTTTTATGTACTTGACTTTTGTTTTTGAAGCTCAATGCAAGAATTTTGTCTCCCTTACTCCAATTTATCTGATGATTGTTAGGAAATTCTAATTGGTCCTTTACAAACATTGTGGGGGGGGTCATTTAAAAATGTAAGCTAGCTTCTGTGACCTACATTGTTAAACATCTACTCCTTACATCATCTAAATTACCAAATCTCAAGGAAGTTTCAGAGTTTTCAGTTTAAATAACACTCCTTTGCAAAAAGTCATGCCCTGAGAAATAAGGTTGGATGAGAGAATTCAAACACCAAACCTTCTGAGATTTTTATCCCCAAGTTATATTTTGTTAAGACTTTAAACTGTTTCAGCCTCCAATACTAAAAAAAAATTAAAATTAAAAAAAGAATTCTTTAGATGTGGGGGGGGGAGGTATAAACAAATAATACTTCCGTGGTGTACAGATTCACTGAAGGGTTTTTGTTGTTGTTGTTGGTCTTTTTGAGACAGGGTCTCCCTGTAGCCCCAGCTGTCCTGGAACTCACTATGTAGACCAGACTGGCCTTGAACTCACAGAGATCCACCTGCCTCTGCCTGGGCCATGTGCCACTCGCCTGGCAAAGGTAGCTGGGGAGACAAGCGTGGGTGCTGGGAACCGAACTCTTGTCTTTTATGGTTGTGAGCCTGAGCCTTTAACGGCTGCACCAGCTCTCCAGCCCTTTGTTTTTATTTTTAATTTACCACTATTGTACATATTAGGGCTCTAGTTGCAAACAATGAATGAAATGCTGAAGATTGGCTTGGTCAGATATCAAAAGCGATGCTATATCTACTCCTTCCTAGCAAAGCTCAGTGAATTGTGCTGTTGGGAGGGGGACTGCTCAGCTCCCAGTTCTGCTTGAAGCTCTGGCTCCTCTCGGTGTTTTTACCTGCAAGCAAGCAGATCAGAAAAGAGAGAGGGGGCAGGGCTAGACCAGAAGAAACATCACAGGATGCGTTCAGAGAAGAGCACTTCTTTCCTGCAACAACCCATTTCCTCGGGAATTTGGTAGAACTGTTTCCAAGTTTGGGAAGTTTGTTCGGTAGACTGAAGATTCCAAGGAATGTGCCATTTCTTTCTGCAGAAGGGAAACGACAGATTCCTTTAAATGAGCAGTTTCTTCGCAAGTGTCCCAGTGTGGATCTTAAGCCTCAGGAAGTCTTGGTCTCAGTGAACATCCCCTACTCCAAGAAGGTGAGTGACCTTTCCTTTCCACTTCCTGGTTCCATCTGTGTGTCTATAGGTTGTTTCTCCCAGCATGAGTGGGCTCAGAAGAAAGGCGTGTGATTGCAGAGGAGATGAAAGTTTGCTTTAGGAACTCACAGGGCGCTGTTTCAAGACTTGTGCGTTGTCACTTTAACCAGGTCACTTGCTGCAGAAACACCCCCCACACACACTATTTCTAGAACCAAAAGACCTTTCTCTTTCTTTCCCTGTCTCAAACTGGAAAATTACTTTCTAACAGATTTTAAAAGATTATTTGTCCCACCAAATGTCTTCTTTAAATGAGATAAAAAATACTATACCTCTGCCTAGATCTTGAGGTTTGAAAGAGGCTTAAAAAATTACATTTGCAGCAAAACTTAGTGGAGGCAAGCAGAGGTTTTTGGAGTCAGACTCAGGACTAAGTTCTGGTTTCAAAAATGAATTAATTACTGAATCATCCCAAGTCTAGGGTTCTTTATTTATAAAATGGGAATTATCAAGCCTGCCTACAGGATGTAATCGTTTACAGGGCGGCCAAAGAACCACATACACAGAGGCTTAAACAATGAAGATTTATTTTCTAGGATTCCAAGGCTAGAATTCATTGATATCAACATGTCAGTGGGATTGGTTTCTTCTTTTGAGACCTCTGCCCCTTGACCTGTAGGCTTCTGCCTTCTTGTGGTTTTTATCTTTCACATCTATGTCCTAATTTCCTCTTCCTTAAAAAGATACCAACTAGGGCCGGTCAGTGGGATTGGTTTCTTCTTTTGAGACCTCTGCCCCTTGACCTGTAGGTGTCTGTCTTCTGCCTTCTTGTGGTTTTTATCTTTCACATCTATGTCCAAATTTCCTCTTCCTTAAAAAGATACCAACTAGGGCTGGGCGTGGTGGCGCATCCCTTTAATCCCAGCACTTGGGAGGCAGAGGCAGGCGGATCTTTGTGAGTTCAAGGCCAGCCTGGTCTACACAGTGAGTTCAGGTCAGCTGGGACTACAGGGAGACCCTGTCTCAAAAAGAAAAAAAAAAAAAAAAGACACCAAGCATTTGGATTAGGGCCTTGACTAGTGACCTCGTTTAACTCTATCCCCTTAAACACCTTATACCCCACATTCTGAAGTCCTGGAGATTAAAGAGAGGGGACACACACACACACACCTCCCGGTGTGTAGTTGTCACTCAATGTGGTTCTACGTGCACCATTTTTTCTTTCAGTGGGAATTTGTGTCAGCCTTCCGACAAGCCCAGCGTCAACAGAATGCACTAGCAATTGTTAATTCAGGAATGAGAGTCCTTTTTGGAGAAAGAGATGGCATCATTAAGGAGTTATCCATTTTTTATGGAGGTGTTGGTCCAACCACCATCAGTGCTAAGGATTCCTGCCAGAAACTCATCGGAAGGTAAGACGTCATGTCCTTAGACTTCAGGTGACAAACTGTCCTATGGAGAGCTGCAGTTTTAAGAAGAAAAATGTTTAGTGTCTCTCAGTTAATGGCAGAAAATTCCAACAAGATTTCATAATCATTTCCATTTCTCAACTTTAGCAAACTCAGAAGTGAGCATTATATAGTCTGTCTGTATTGAAGTATGTAAGCACACAAATTGTGTGTGTGTGTGTGTCAGAGAGAGAGAGAGAAAGAGAGAGAGAGAGAGAGAGAGAGAATACCAATTCTGAATAGCAAGAATTTGCATTCTTTTTTTGTGGAGGGAATAATTTACCATGATGAAAAATAGGTAATATGATAATCGATTAGTAATTATTCCGTTTGTTTAACCAACTTTTTATATCAGTTGATAAAACTAATAGCTAATGTTTCTTTGGAAAATTTACTAGTTGAACTTATAATGAATCATGATTTAAAGCATGCTGTAAACCTTTAATTAGTCAGACTGTTCAATATCTTAGTTCAGTCTCTATTAATTACATGAACTCAGTCAGTTTATTTAACTTTGTGATACCTCAGCCTCCTCATCTGTCAAAGATGAGAATCATACTTACTTGGTATGGCAGCTGAGGGGCTTAAATAAGTGAATAAACACACAGTACTTAAAGCAGAATCTGGCATATAGTAAATGTCCTAGTGATAGATGGATGACGGGCCAGTAACTCCTGGACTAAGGATTTTAGATGGATGAGAATGTGGTGGGACCCAGTCCAAGTGCTTTGACAGTAGTAGAACACCTTGAACTTGGGCTGCCTGATCTGGAGCTTGCCCTTTTGTTTCCAGCAATAAGCAAGCTATGTGCCTTACCTATTAGTTGAACCTGTGAGATATAACGGGTCTGGCCAGGCTGAGTCGCCTCCTTTGCTTCTCACAGGCCTTGGAATGAAGAGATGCTGGATACAGCATGCAGGCTGGTTTTGGATGAAGTCATCCTTCCAGGCTCAGCTCCAGGTGGGAAGGTGGAATTCAAGAGGACCCTCATCATCAGCTTCCTCTTCAAGTTCTACCTGGAAGTGTCACAGATTTTGAAGGAGATGGTAAATGAAAATGGCAAATATTAGCTTTCCTTGTACTGCCCCAAAGTACTGTGGTACTTAGTCCCCTAAGGAGTTGTAGAATACAAAAGATGAGAAATCAGAAGCACATGGTGTTAGTGGGCTTCCAGTGGGCTGTCTGCAGATGACTGTGAGTTTGAGGAAGAATTACACAGCAAAGACTTGCACAGGATTTTTTAAGCATCACTCAGTTACTCTGACCTCTCATCTGTCTGGATAATGCTGAGAAAACTTGCTAATGGTTTCAGGTTTGTTTGTTTTTTTTTCCACTTACTCATGTAAGCCACTTTCTTGTGTTTGGCTTTCTTCTCTGGGTTCAACTTCATTTCTGTCACTCATGAGATGATGGCAGCCAGTGCACAACAGTGCTGCGAAGTGGGTCATTGTAGGAAAAAGTCTTAGTACGCTCCGCAGTGCTTCAGAGGGCTTGCTTAAAGTGGCGGCACTGTGACAGCACTGGTAATAAGCAGGCACTCCTTTGCCTGGTTTCCCTTATGGCAGTTGCAAGGTTGTTGCCTAGGGAAGACACAACTGAAAGCATTTCTCTGAATAAATTTTTGGGTCCTCAAGGAAACTGGAGCCTTATAGTCCTCACAACCTCACATTACAGCCAATCCAACTAGGCTAGAAGCCACAGCTCCCTGTGTAGTATGGAAATTTACACGGTAACGTTAAAGGAGACAGACAGTCCTCTCATAGGATGTCTGTTGAAATATCTTCTCAGTACAGACGGGAATAAATAAGAATAAAAAATTTGAGACTAGAAGCTTCAAATCATATTTAAATGACATCTTTTTAACCAAGTCATCAAAAGTGAAAACTTAGGGGGCTGAGAGATGTCTCAGTGGGTAAGAGCACTGTTGGGATTTGGTTCTCAGAACCAACACGGTGGCTAACAATCATCTGTAACTCCAGTTCTAGGGGATCCAATATCTTCTACTGACTTCTGTGGGCATTACATGCATAGGTGAATCACATACATGTAGGCAAAACACTCATACACATTAAATAAAAATAAATAATGTATATATTTAAAGTAAAAAGTTACAACTAATTGTAGACACTCCTAATGAATAACAGACCAATACAATTTCTTGGTGGATCAAATGATTTAATTTAAAACGTCTGTCTTTTAGCCTTACACTTTCCATCTAACTTCTGCTCATTAAAAACAATAACTTTTGTTAGCTTCATTTTCTATTAAAATTATTTAAATTATAAAAATAATCATTAGCTGTGTGTGGTGGCACATGCCTTTAGTCTCAGCACTTGGGAGGCAGAGGCAAGTGTATCTCTGTGAGTTCAAGGCCAGCCTGGTCTACATAGTGAGTTCCAGGCCAACTAGGGCTACAGGGAGATCCTGCCTCAAAAAGACCTAAATAAATAAATAAACAAATAAATAAATAAATAAATAAAATCATTAAATATATTGTTAAAGGTCTTGTATAAAAATCACTTGCCATTGGCCCATTTCCTCTGGTTCTAAGGGATGTTCTTTCTGGGGATTGAAAGGCATCCTTCTGCAGGGGGATGGCAGTGGCACCCCTTTCTGCCTGCTTGGCAGGAGTTTCAGGCACATTTACTATGATGGGCTTCAGTTCCAACTCTTTCCTCCTTTGAGTTTTCTCTTTTTTGTTTTATTTAGCTCTATCTTCCTGTCGTATTGGTGTCAACATCCCCAAATTAGGAAATCGTCTTGTCTAGATGATGTTGAGAAAACTTACTAATTATTGGAAAATAATCTTAGGAAACTCAGAGGCAGTGACAGTGAGCTAATTTCAGGTGCCTCATCACACTGTGTGGATGGCTATGTACCTTTCAGGGCTCCTGTCCTAAGGTCAGGAAGTTGCTTGGACTTCCGTTGCTTTGAAAGGGTCAATAACTTAAACAGTGCTAGACTCAGAGTATGCTTGCTAAGGATCATAGTATCTAACCCTATTCTTTTCAGGACCCAGGTCACTGTCCTAGCCTGGCAGACAGACATAAGAGTGCTTTAGAAGATTGGCATTCTAGACATCACTGGAGAACGCTAACCCACCAGGTTAGTAGGTGTGTGTGTGTTTATGTGTGTCTGTCTGTCTGTGTTTAAATTCAAAGACTGGGTTACAGTGCCCTCACCTGGATGTCCCTACTTGTTTCTCAGTGTCCCTCAAGCTTCATAGTCCTGAGCTCCCCTTCCAATGATTCATAGCCTTTGTCAATGTTAATTAACATTTCACCACCAGGCAGGCAGTGTAGTTCAGTGATTGAGCACTGGCCTAGCATGAACAAGGCCAGAAGATTGATCCCTAGTTAATGCAATTAACACTAAGATGTTTGCATATGCATTTCTAATCTCTATATATCTGATTTTTACTAGTCACAATCAGTTACTTTCTGAGCTCCTTGGTATCTGAGCATGATATAAAGTCATCAGGTAGATTCCAATGGTAATGTTTTTCACATCTACTAATTATTAAGGAGCAAATTT